AGGTGTTCCAGGTGTCCAGCAAGTGGGACACCAGCAACCACTTCCTTCCCGGGGGCAGCTTCACCAGGTTCGCCGACTGGCGGTTCGTCCACAGGGCCCGACTCAACTGCGTTCCCCTCAACGGAGCCATCCGCCACGGCAACCGGGACAAGTTTGCGGCTATACAAACGAGACCCTGCCCCACGTCCTGTGTGGATGCAAACAGCATTCCCCTGGTGGCACAGCCACAACGCCATCCAAAACCGGCTGGTGAAAGCCATCCTGCCGTCCCTGGGGAAGATCACCCTCGACTCCGCCATCCCCAGGACAGACAACAGACTGCGACCCGACATCATCGTGACTGACGCAGAAAAGAAGAAGGTCCTAATTGTAGACGTCACGGTGCCTTTTGAAACCAGTCACCGGCCCTCCACGAAGCCCGAGCATGGAAGGCGTCAAAGTACACCCCGCTGGCCGAGACCCTGGGAGCCCAGGGCTACAAGGTCCAGATACACGCCCTGATTGTGGGAGCCCTGGTCTCGTGGGACCCCCACAACGAGCCGGTTCTGAGAGCATGCGGAGTCGGTGGACGCTACGCCCAGCTCATGAGACAGCTCATGGTGTCCGTCACCATCAGGTGGTCCAGAGACATTTATACAGAACACATCACAGGACACCGCCAATACCACACTGAGTAACTGAGACCGCCGACCAGGGAAATAACCCACTTCCTTCTCTGACGGACCAAGGGACGCACCCCACCCATGTACTTGTCTGCTACACCGATACTGACTTGGACTCCTTGTTCATTCTATGGGTGGCGTACCTGAGCCCACTTATCCACTGACACTTTAAAAACTCTTGCACCCCAATCTGGGTCTATGCCAGTTATGTGATATGTATGTATCTCTTCACCCTTGCAGCCGATACCTGTAATCCCTCACAACCCAAGCCTGACCCCAGATGTACAGTACCTTCCCTCTTAACTTGTGTATATTTAATTTTAAACATTCACTTTAAATGTGTGGGTCATGAAATGTTGTTATCCTTATTGTATGAGTAAAAGGCAGCAGAACTGTACTTAGCCTGCCTGAATGAGGGAGTCTTCCTCAGTGCTTAATTTGTGTGAGGGCTTGCCAGGGCTGAGCCCAGCACCTCTAGGCTAGCAGTTCATAGCCCAGGGATCTTTGGGCTTGCCACATCAGTTATGAAAGTAACAAACTTGCTTAAGCCCCGGCACCTCTTTCATTACAAATTAAGCACTGGTCACCCACAACTGAACTGCACTCCCTAAGCAGGAGGTTTGGATGCTGTATCCTAGTTAAAAGAGAGAGAGAGAGAGAGAGAGAGGAGGGTAGGACACGTAGGTTGTTTGTCGTTGGTGGTGGT